TTTTTTTGGTTTTTCGAGACAGGGTTTCTCTGTGTAGCCCTGGCTGTACAGGAACTCACTCTGTAGACCAGGCTGGCCTTGAACTCAGAGATTCATCTGCCGCTGCCTCCTGAGTGCTGGGAGTAAAGGTATGTGCACTGCCCAGCAAATTTTTTTTTTTTTCTGTAAAACAGTACTGGAAATGAGGAAAATGAGCAGTGTGAATATTTTATCTTGGAAGGAAGGGGTAAAGGAACAGGCTAGAGGCTGCTGGCTCTAAAGTTGCCGAGCACTTCTGTAAAGACAGACAAGTGCTGGGGAGGAGTCCATGGGCCCCATTGTTTGCGGAGCCCCAGGTTTGACCCAGTCACCACCAAAAAGAAAAATGAGACCAAAGTATGTATTTCCAGGGGTTTTTTTTCTATATATTAAAAATATGTAGTGGGTGCTGGGGTTGAAAAGGGAGTTTATAATGTAGGCGTCTTCTCTTGAGGGTGACGTGGCCATTACCTCTGGGTTCTTTCTATCTGGGGAAGGCAAGAAAATAGAGAAAACAGATTATAATTGTAACCACATTCTTTTAGTTGCTTTACCCTGCTACAAACCTTTTTCTGAGCCCTACTAGTTTGGGGTGTGTGTGTGTGTGTGTGTGTGTGTGTGTGTTTTTGTATGTAAGCTTCAGGCCAGTTCTGTCTCGCCTCCCACCACCAAATGAGAGCTGGATTTTCACATGGCTCTGGGCATTGTACTGGGGCATTAGGCAAGTGCAGTAAGCATTTTCCTTGCCAAGTCACCTCTCTGACCTGACGTGTCCCTCTGAATGTGCATGTGTGCGCAGGTACCCACAGCCCAGGGTGTTGGAGCTCTCTCAAGCAGGAGTTATACAGGTGGCTGTGAGTGGCTGATGTGTGTGCCGGAAATTTAACTTGTGTCCTTTGGAAGAGCAGTAAATGCTCTTAACCACTGAGCCATCTTTCAGTGTACTGACCTGGAACATCTGCTCCCTTGCCTCCACCCACCGATCTATGAGGTGTACATCTCCATGCCTAGCTTGTGGTATTGCGGATCAAACTCAGGACTTCATACATGCTAGGCAAGTACTCTTCTAGCTGAACTACATAAGTCTCCAGCCCCCAAGTGCATTATTTTTATATTAAAAATAGAATCATACTCACAAGGAGGAAAACAAAAATAGAAACCAGCTAAGTCACCAAGTATGCCTTTTGTTTATTGTCTTTTTCCCCTGCCAGTCATCCCTAGCAAATTGAGATTATTTTATGGAATCAGTCTGAACCTATAGTAACTTTGTATGTTTGTTTGAGATAGGGTCTCGCTATGTAGCTCTGGCTGGCCTGGAACTTATGTAGACCAGGCTGGCCTTCAATTTATGAACACCCACCTGTCTCTGTCTCCAAAGTGCTGGAACTAAAAGGTGTGTACTACCACACCTGACTTCTTTGTAAACTTTTAAGTTGCTGGGAAGAGTCCCAGAAGGATAGTCTTTTAGGCACATGCATACTGGTGCAAAACCTGGTATCAATTGTGTGGCCCTGTCATTGCTTTCTTCCTTCAGTGATGGGGTTTGAACCTAGCACCTTGTGCATGTGTTAGGGGAACCCACTGAACTACACCTCCAGCCCTGCTAGCTTGTAAAACTTCCTTCATCTGTAAACCAGGTAAGACCTCAGATATTGGCTGTTACTGTTACAAAGCATAAGTTATTGTACTAATCAGAGCTGGAGAGATGGCTCAGCAGCTAAGATCACTGGCTGCTCTTGTAGAGGACCTGGGTTCAATTCCCAGTACCCACATGGTGGCTCATACCATCTATAACAACAGTTCCAGGGAATCCAACTCCCTTTTCTGGCTTCCATGGGGCACCAGGTGCACAGACATATGCAGGCAAAAAACTAACACAATTTCTAAAAACTCTCTTGATCATTAACTTATTAATATGTTCTATGTCCATTGTCTATGCGTTTAGTCTTTACAGCCAAGCATGGTAGGAAAATTGTCGATTTAAGATCAGCCAGAACTACTTACCAAAACTAAAAAAAAAAAGAAAGAAAAAAAAGAATAAAAGTAAAGAAGTCTTATTTGGTCAGTAATAATCTGATGACCAATAAGACGTGGCATTTGTTCAAGAAGTGACAAGACATGAGGGTACACACCTCTTATCTTGGCTCTTATAGAAGTGATGGCATCCTTGGCTACACAGTAAGTTCAAGGCGATCCTTGAGACTATTTCAGGCTGGTGTGATGGCTCCAAGCCTGACAGTCTGAATTTGATCACTGGAAACCACATGGTGGGATGAAAGAACTGTCTCTCACAAGTTGCCCTGTGACCTCCACATGTGTACACATACAACATGCACACAATGTAAAAAAGCCCAGATGGCAGTGGTACATACTTTTAATCTCAGCAGAGGCAGGAGGATCAGCGTTCAAGGCCAGCCTGGCCTAACTAGTGAGTTCCAGGACAGCCAGAACATAGATTTTGTCTTAAAACAGTCTCAGAA